TCATCTTCATTGAACCTACTAGTTCTATCACAAAAAAAGTAAGGCTAAGATATACATATGTTATTGATTAGTATACATCCTAGTTGTTTTGTTTTTTTTAGCATGCATAGAAATAGAGATATAGTTCAATTTACATTTTGAAAGCACAGTAAAAAGTGAATGCATTAATGTGAGAATCAACAAATTTGCTTAATGAAAACTTCATAAAATATTACTTTTTTTTCTTTTATTATTCAATTAGAGAATAAAAAAGATAAACATACAACGACTAGAAAGATGAATGGGATGCAAGAGAACTTATTTAAGCGCTAGACAGATGTTTTTAAAATTTTTAAAAGCTGGTGCCAACTCCTTTTTTTTCTAATGAAAACAAAGACTTTTGCTGAGAAAAAATGAAAATTTTCTCGAAACGAGGACTATGTTGCAAATTCCTATATACCAGAATAACACAAAAGGAACGCATATATTCCATTGTACCTCAAGGAAAATGTTTATGTAATGATGTGAAATTACTTGGAGCAACGTTTGTCTATCTTACAAATGATTTACCATACTTAATCAAATGGTAGATATAATACCTTGAAAATTAGAGAAGGACTCAAAAGCCTTCTATATTATTCATTATTAAAGAGTGTAAATTTGATATTCTGGATTTTTCTCTCATTTAACAATCGTTTAGGATAAACATAGATTATAGGTAGACAAAACGCATCAAATTGTGTAGAGATTATCTGGTCAAGTGAAGGTACTCGTAAGTACTCTTATATAGCTTTGTGAACTTTAATGAACTATGTAAAACTCTCATAAGTCTATATTCTGTTCAGTTGTGTCCTATTACATTCATTTTATTTAGATATCAAATTTAATAAATTTTTTTTTCAAACAAATAATAAAACTAGAGAAATCTTCATCGTTTATAGAAGAAAGTAAAATATTTCTTAGCTTGATATAATAAAAAACATTTTTTTTATTTATTGGTTTAAAAGATTAAAAAAAGAATACAATTTAAAACAAAAACCAAAAATTTTATAGGTGATAGGAATCAGAGAACTGCATGATCACTAATGCTGTATTATGAACGATCATATCTAGCGTAGAAATGCATATCTGTTGTGCATTATTTTTAAAAGACATAAAATCTTGTTTTTATGATCCATTAATGATAAAGATATACTTGTCTCTACCTCATAAAGTAGGAATACACTAAAAGACAGATGAAACACAGTATAGTATAGAAAAATAAAAATACAAAATTAATTATTATGTGATACAGAAAAGTTTGATTATAAATAAATATGCAGTGTTGATTATTACATAATTAAAAACCCAATAGACATGTTTTTATTCATAATTATTTGTGTTTTTTTTGCTATTTATAAAAAAAACACTAAAAATAAAATCTATTTTGTCTATAGTATAGTTAATTTCAAAGTCTGTATTTGAATACCGAAATTTTTATCCGAATTCAGAAAAGTAAACTTCAACGAATTTCTATTAACAGTTTTTACATACACATTCAACCACACTTGACAATTTAATAGCTTAAAATGAGAGGTTGTATTTCTTTCTTAAAGTCACTATCAACGGAATCGTATAAATGATTTGTCAGTCAAGAATAGAGGGTAAACTAAATAAGTTGTTAAAATAGTTTCTTTCTATCATACTAGTGGCGGAGACAGAAAAAAATTCTAGCGAGAGCTCACATATGCATTGACTGCAGTTTCAAAATTTTCTAGAGGGAGCTCAGCTCTCTCTAGACCACTCCTGGTTCCACCACTATATTGTACGTCATACAATATCATTTTTCTCAATTGCATACCTTCAATCTACTTTTGTATATCCAAACGCATAAATGCCTTGCTAAATTTTCTGCAAAAAAGATGAACATGAGTACTACATTGAGTACTCACGTCATTGCCTATGGGTAAGTGTATAGAGAAAAACTCATATGAATACTAGTCAGAGTACACAAAAAGTATTCATATGTATAAAATTGTCTAAGCACTAGGACAATTAATATGAGCACTCATGCTAGCAATTCATACTCATCCAGTAAGTATTTTCACCGAGACATATATTAAAGTCAATTATAATGATTAATAATGAGTGCTTAATATATATGAATTAACTAATATTCTTTATAGTCTAACAGATGCTTTATAGTGCAAGAACTTTATCAAAAAATAAGCTCATCGTAATAGATTATGTTCTTACAGGTCAAACGACAACGAAGAGCATTTTGATAACTTATCTTGAGAAAACCTTCAACAAAATATCTTCACATCTATTCATGTGCATCAATATGTCCAGAAAATATTTCTTAACTTTATGGTGAAATATAAGTCAATCTTTAACTAGTCAGACATTTTCAAAAATCTGTTGCATTATTGTTTAATGAATAGATATATTCTATCTTCCTCATAATTCTTCGAATCTGTACTGAAAAAAGTGCGTAAATTCTAATCAATATTCATTCTTGCTATTATAATCAAAAAATAGAACAAGCTGCATTACGTATTATGATAATAAAAATCAGAAACCATTTGATTAGCATTACAGTCATGCAATTAATATTCATAAAATTTCTGCAAGATATAATTTCTTTATATATTAGTCTTTCTGAGAAGATTTGCCCTGAAGCTTCCCTTGACAACATGCGATAAATGAGTGAAATTAAAATGAAGCTATTAAAAGATCGACTTATTATGCTCTTTAAAATACAGCAGCCTTTAGTGGTAATTAGATGCCGTCTATCCTACTGAATCATTATAAAGTCATAGGAAAATATTAAATTTTAGTAACCTAGAGATTTTTTACATGAATATATAAAATTGTTGGTAAAAAAGTTCATAGAAAAATAAAAAATATATGAAATATTTTTTCTGTATGATTACTAGCTAGACAAAATATGTGAAATGAACCAGTGAATATATACAATTGTTGAACATCGTTTGACCTCAAATTTGACTACAAGTAGGTCATGACGAGACTAAGAAACTCGTAAAAGGATTTGCTTCTATAGTGCACCTAAACCGAGATCAGCTCAACAGTTAGATTGAAGAACATCATTTTTTCGCTCTCATTTTTGCTGAAATCTTTTCATTTTTATTTTTCATTGGTCAAGCTTGAAATTTTTAACATAGGTTCTTCATTTTATATGCTTTAAATTCAAAAAGATTTAGCTCAAAAGTTTCTCTACATCATGAGATATAGATTTAATAAGTTGACATAGACGTAGAACAGCAAAACTAGAAAAGATGACGTACAAAACTATGTCTTTTTTTGCATGGAGGCCACATGGTGCCGGTGGAATCTTTTTAGGTTTTATTCGTATTAAGAATTATTATGACCCGTCCGTTTTTTTTGGTACACTTAGAAAAAATGTTCGTTATATCCTTCTCTTTTTTCTCCATCTCTTCAGCCTATCAAAGTGTGTTTTCTGTGTCCTGCTGTTTTCCTAGATTCAAAGACTATTCCAACAGTGTAGAAACCTTTTTCATTTATCATATCCACTTATTACATCTCAAACTGCACTTGTTTTTTGTTTTATTTCTTAGCTTTGATGCCAATTTGTTCTCTGATTCGATCCCTTTCAGATTGAATAGCCCTTCTAATAGTCCACTTGCTTTTGCTCTTGTCTATTTGTATGAGAAAAAAAAGGAGAAACTCTCCAAACCCTATTTTAGCCTGTTTTTGACTTAAGACGTCTATCTCTTGAGATTCAAAGAAAATTTTGCATTGAATGTTTTGGAACTTGAAAGAAATATAAAATAAAGAATCTATATCAAAAAAACGAGAGTACAGAAATGACTTTTTTTAATATAACTGCTGATCGGATTTCGACTTAAGTAGATCATGAATTCGGTTTCTTCCAGTATCTTCTTAGTCTTATCATAACGTGCGTGTACCCAAAATATGAAGTCGAACGTTGTCAGACAGGTTGAGAACAATCTCTTGTAAGTAACAGATAATGTAGCTTCTTTTTATAATCAAAAGAAGTGGTTTAGAGCTATATATACAGGTAGTTCGATAAAAAGTCTTAAATGGATTGCTCCTTTGTATAAATTTTACATCGGTGAATCCATTTAATGAAATGGAAATTTGTCAAGAAATATGTTAATTACTTAAAAAAAAACTTTTCGTGCATAAACATGAGCAAATATACAATGATGGAATGAGAGGAGAGTTTTTATTCTTTGTAATGAAAAAAAAGAGCATGCTTCAAAACTTTATTTCGTATAGATAATAAGTGATACTAACACAGACAAACGAAATATTAATCAATAATTTCAGAGAATTCTTTATAAAGACAATCGTAAATAAATAAAAAGCTGCAAATCCGATGCTCCTTTACTCGATAAAAAACTAGCAAAGTAGATTAATTGATACTCCTATGTTATGCTTCGAAAAATTGTTTAAAAATTTGACATTTGTTTTTTTTTTCGTTTAGTCAGAGTACATACTAACAATTATAAGAAGATCAGTTTTCTTGAATTGACATATTAGAATAAAAGATGATAACTAATTGTAAACACAAAAACAGTTCAGAAAAATCTTCAACGAAACTGTATTTTCATCTTTAATAATTAATATCAATTTTGCAACATCTCTCGGACATTTTTATACTTGATTCTATAAAATGTGAAAAAGAAAATTTTTTTCTATGCTAAATTGAAAACACTTGTTATAATGATAGTCAAAATAATACACAAGGGGAGCAAATATGAGCAGAAAATAAAATACACAATAGAGTGACATTAAGCCTGTCTTGACAGAAGACAAAATTTTCTTAATATAGGAAAAATTAACATAATCTAATCGTAAAGAGAAGCTTCTATAGATATTTTCTTTGTCACTCTAACATTTATTAGGTTATTTTAATTTAAATCTAACTTCTTTTTTTTTCCGTACCTACAGAACGAGAAAAACTATACGTGTAAACATCTGCATATCTTTTCTTTTCACAGATCATTATGCAAAACAATGTTTCCTTTATATCAATGAATTTATCTATATCTGTTTTCACTAATATTTCGCAATTAAAACAAATTGAATCTTGTCACATACTTCGACTTTTTGGATATTATTTGATTCTTCTTTGGATAATTGGTACGATTCTAAATGGTTCACTACTTTATACATTAATACGAAATAATATATTACGTCAATTATCTACAAATATACTTATTGGTGGTCTATTATTGGGTGATTTTATTGGAGCATTTTTCGAAATACCATTTCCAGCTTTGTCACTTATTTATTGCAGGTTAGAATATTCTTAAAAAGAAAAACAATAGAATATTAATAATATTTTCTACAGATGGATTTTCACATATATTGGTTGTGTATTCGAAGCTATTATTACTTATTTTGTGGGCTGTTCAAATATGTACATGCTTTGTTTAATTTCAATTGATAGGTAAAATAAAATTCAATTAGAATAGAAGAATTACATATTTTTTTAATCTTCATTAGATACAGTATCATGACTAGATCTTTCCAAGAACCAAGTGGCATAATTCAACGAACTTATACATCCATTGGATGTGTTTATATATTATCTCTATTTTGGACAATAATGCCATTATTAGGATGGTCTTCGTATGATTATGAGGTTTGATTATAGTAGTATTCTCAAAATTGATTAGTGTATGATTGAATTAAATTTAGGGTGTAGGAGTTTCATGTAGCATCAAATGGACAGAAAGATCATTCAATGTAATCAGTTATAATATAACTGTTCTTATTTTTGTTTATTTTATACCCGTTATGATAATATTAATAACAAATATAAAAATATATCTATTAGTAAGCAATTCTCTATTTGAACAAAAAAAAAAGAAAAAAAAATATGTATTTCTTATCAAGATTCGAAATCGTCGACGTTGGTTTACAACCAAACTTAATCAATCTTCTGTTCGACGTCGACTACTCATCGAACGTCGTGTTCTACATACAATCAGTTTTGTCATCGGTAAGAATATGTTTGACTCTTTAATAGACATATGCAAAATTGATTCCGATCTGGTCGAATCTTAGATAGAAATTAGAAAAACTAAATTCGGTCGTTTCTGATTGTGAAAATCGATGAATAAGGATAAGAATAATTGAAAGAATAACAATATAACAGCAAGATGTTTCAAACTTATAGACAGTAATAGATAATGAACTTATATTCTTGGATAGTAGAATTTTTATAGAGTTCAGTACTTGATTTGAATATTTTTTTTGATTGAGACTGAAAAGAAAAAAAAAGATTACGTCTCTTGGTAGATGCAGTATGACGATTGTAGACAGTCGGCTACTTGATTTTCAGATCGTTTGATGATTATTTTCAATTATATATAGCAGGATAGAATATGGTCGAAATACTATGCCTACCAAATGTGAATTTAGCACAACAAACTTTATGAAACGACAGTATACGATACCATTTTTTTGGTCATTTCGGTGACTGTAATACTCATTCTGAGTAGTTCAGTTCACGTCAATCATAAACTATTTTTAGAAATTTCTGAGTCGATTATTAGTGCTAATCCATAAAATGAGCTTATGAAAAAAACACAGAAAGAAAAAATGTCGATTTAATAATGAAAAGTCACCAGAATAGAATGGTAGCAATGCTGATGTTTTGGATTCTTTTGCGTTTTTTCATCTATGGCAAAAAAACACTAAATATTAATTATTAAGGAGGATTTCTCATTGCTTGGACACCATATGCGATTCTCGTTGTTATACGAGCTTTTTTTGATGCAAACCATATTTCATCTATCATGGACACAATACCAGCTTTATTTGCTAAAACAAGTTTCATGTATGCTATTCAAAATAAACATAAATCTCCTATTTTTCTTTTATATATAATGTCTTTCATTATTTAGATGGAATCCATTGATACTTATAGTGCGTAATGGTAATTTTCGTCAGTATACACCATTCATTACCTCTAAACATCGTTCACAATCAAGTAAATAATTTCTTTTGTACTATATTATAAATCAATTTATTTCTTTATAGACAAAGACACACAGAAACTACAGTTTTATGTTTTTCAACACTCGATGATTGAATAGTTTTCATTCTGTTCGTTAATTTTCGGTGAAACATAATTGTCCATTTATATTATGATACAAAAAGACATTTTAAAATCTATTTAAATAATTGAACAAATTCATCAAATCCTATTTTTCCATCGCCACTTTTATCTAATGATCTAACCATTGCATCAATTTCATCTTTATTATAACGTCGACCCATTTTTTGCATGATACTTTCTAATTCTTGAGCTTGTATATAACCTGAACCATCTTGATCAAATTGACGAAAAGCCACACGTAATTCATCTTGAGAATAGCTTTTAAAATATGTTTCAGCCATTACTCGACAAAATTCATCGAATTCAATTTGTCCTATTTCAAAATATATTCTTTTTTTTAACACGATTAAAAACATTTATTCATACATACCACTTCCATTTGTATCCATTTCATTGACTAGGTGTTTTAATTGATTATCATCGACTTTAACATTTAATGCTTTGAATATATTACCTAATTCTCGATGTGATATTTTGCCTGAGCCATCTATTTAAAAAAAACAGAATAAATTACTATTATTCATAATTATATATTATACCTGTATCAAATACATCAAAAGCATCTTTTAACTCTCGACGCTGAGCATTTGTTAAAGTATTCGCCATACGTATGTTTCTTGTGATTAAAAAATCGAGCAAATATATTGTATCAAAAAAGAAAAATAAAAGAAATGGAATCAACTAGTCAGACTTTATATACTTCTCCTCGATGAGAAAGAAAAAGAAATGAATTTTATGCTATGCATACGGTTAGCAGCACCGTTAACAACAACGGTGTACTTCTAAAAAAAAAGTATTCAACTCATAACGGTGTCGTGTAAAACGTCTAGAAATAGAAGAGAAGATGAGAAAAAGAGTTTTTTTTTTTTCTTTACTAAAACGCAATAATGCCGTCACATTTGGAAGTAGTTTAGACAAAAAGAAAAAAGAAATAAGAATTCTAAAGAGAGTAGTATGTGAATAAATATGTTTAGTAATGTTTGTCAAAAGTAACATAATAATACTTCTCCAATGCGAGAGACACTGTTATACGTTATATTCGAAAGAAATAATAATTTTATCGATTTTGTCTAAAGAGACTTATTCAACCCATTTTGAATACATTATCATGAAAGAAATAATCTGACCTTAGATTAAGACTTAATAAAAATATAGGATTTTCTCTGAAAAATGACAAAATTATAAGATATTTTACTTATATTGCATCTCAAAAATCAGCAAAGAATAATTATGTAAATATCTCTTAAACAATGTTAGCGAATGATATAATTTCAAGTCACTATATGTGTTTATAAGCATTAAAATAGATATTGTTATATTAATGACTAAATTTAAGTCATTTATCAGAGTGAAAAGAAAAATGCATGTGAAATTTGACATACTTAAGTGAGTCATAGATTGACTTAGAAATACTTTTGTGAAATCAGTATAGTAGTAAATAGATAGCAATCTGAAAGATATTTCAAAAATTACAGACAAGAAAATCGATGACATTTATGATGCTTGTAAAAATGTACCAATATCAAGTGTTTGAGTTGCTGCAACAACCTACTTCATTCAAAATAGGAACCGGTAACAACAATAAGTTTATTCGAAAATCAACTTTCTGCAGTATTTTCTGAAAGATTTTGAAAATAATGGTTTTAGATATTTTCAGTTGGTGGTATTCATTGTGAACATTCGTTGTCAACAAAATTATATAAAATAAAACTTAAAAGAATATACTATCATATTGTTTTTTAAAAAAAAAGCAATTAAATTGCGTGAGTTATGTAACAGATATTAACGTAAAGTTTTCCTGAAAACTTTTGAGACTTCCTGTATTTATGTTAATGAAATTTTTTATATAAATGACTTTGTCGCATGATATTATTTTTTTCACCGTGATAGTCAGAACCAAGTATATTTGATTAACATCATAAATAGGTAGATTATGAAACTTATTCACATAGACAAACAGCAGATAATCAAGATATTGTTCTATGAACTTTGTCAATCCAAATGATGAAAGCAATGGTCTCATATCTTTTTGAGAAACTCAGTCTTGTGTCTACTATATTTTATGGTTCTTGTAAATAGTTTGTCGGTCCATTTTTTTTTCCATTAATGTGTATTGTTTGAGCAAAAAAAATAAACAGTCGTTGGCATCGGAAAGAACAAAAGACTCATGTGCGCAATGATCTTGATTATGAATTCATATAGAAAATACAGTAGAGAATCATAGAACTCGAGAAATATATAAAAAAGATTACTTCGACTACTTTTTCAGCTAGCTGCATGCATGTATTGGACAACTACATCAAATTTGAATTGATAAACGAATAATCATTCTATGATAATACGTCGTGTAATCATATCCACACATTCATGCTCAAAAACTCCTTGAAGAATATGAATGCGAGAAGAAAAATATATCAAGGATGGTGTGCTTCTTTTATTCGCAACAATCATAAAACTATGGAGAAAATTGAAAAAAAAAATCTTAGTTCTCAGTTCGTGGATATCTCTCATCATGATATTCAATTTTAAATAAATATCTTTAAAAAATGTTTTCAAAACCTCATTTTTCGATCGATTAAGAGAGTCAGCAGAAAGTGTTTAAAAACTTTTGCTTAGAACCAAAATTATGTGTTCTTTTCGAAATTATGTACAATTCATTAGACAAGAGTTATGAACATATCTTTACAAGGCCTGAAAATAAAGTTTAGACAATATACGGTACTTAATAAAATACCTAAAATAAAATTAACATTTATTTTACATGAATAAATAAAAAAGAGCAAATATTGCCCTACAAAAGAATATTCTTATAATCCGTTCTCTATAAAACATTGCAAGACTCAGTTGACTTTCTAGAGGATATATGCTTTAAGGGATATTATTACAGAGAAAAAAGTCTACTATCAAGGTACTGTTCCAAAACAAATTTGAAACATAATGCAGTTAAAGAAAAAAAAGATGGGATTAAACAAAATCAATACTTTTACAAAAGTAATGATAAAAATCACTAAAATTCAAACTTTTTTTAAAAAGCTTTTCAAAGATTTGCTTATAACTTCTGAACATAGGTTCGAAAAGAGCTCAAAATATTGATTACTATTAAATAAAGGTTAGTCAACAAAAATCAAATGAAATTTTTCGTTCACATTTGTTAATAATTGATTTTCTAATCAATACAGTAAAAATAACGAATCACACAATCGAACTAACAAATAAACGGATGTTTGATAGCCATCATTTGACGCATCTGATGATGTGCGTGTGTCATTGCTTCCGCTCCTTCATCTTCAATCGATTCAATATACACACGCAAATTATCATCATTTGATTTTTCAAAACAACAATCTGTCCGCCCAGTTCCGTCGTCATGAACAGGTTTTTCTTTCTCTCTCTCTCTCTTTCTGTCTGTCTATCTCAATGTCGGTCAACATTAGAACAGAACTCATTAAACGACGAAAGAAAATAAGATAGAACGAGACAAGTGGAAAAATACATCAATAATTGCTCTAGGCACGTCTGTCTACATATTTCCTGTATTGACTTAAGTTTTGGAATAAAAACAATAGTACAAAGAGAATCCCTTTTTTTTTTTATTCACTTTGTTAGCTAAACGCTTTCGAAAATTGAACAGATGTCTATCGATCTTTTTTTTTCGTGTACATGTAAGGCGCTCTATCTGCTTATCATATATCAATCGACCATTACTGAGAAAAAAAAATCAAGGGCAAAGAATGAAAGACATTCTTTCAAGCATGACACGATCGATCGATCGATCAATCAGTGTATACGTATATGTACGCGTGCATGTATATATGTATAGAAAAAGACAATCGAACCATTTGATGAACCCGTTTTTTTTTATGCTATCTTATTTGAACCTATGTATTAAAACGATGTTTTTCTTCTTTTCGTGATAAGGAAGAGAGAAAGAAAGAGAGGGAGAGAGAGAGAGAGAATGGAAACGATTCTCTTCTTCTGATAATAACAGTTGGAGTTCAATTGAATTATCATTCTCTTTTTCTCTTGCGGTTCATACATTGGTGACAAACCTATTTTGATTAAACAGATGCTCTCGAACATATAAAAGAGGCAACTTTTATCTTTTGATTAGTCTGCTTGACATTGAATATATTTTGCACAAGGTTAGTTTACGCATAATAAGATTTCGTTTACTGTAATATATATGCCTATATATATATATATATATATATGTATATTCTAGATTGTATGCAACATATAGATGGTTTTCAAACGACCGATTCATTTCGGTTTGATCGTAATACATCATCATCATCCATATCATTATCTACATCATCCGGTTATGGTTCACGTTTAAGTTTATCTCAAACTGATCATTCATCATCAAATCGTCGTAATGGTCTAGCAAAATATTTTAAAGAAAAATTATCTAAACATAAAAGTTTAGCATCATTAATATCATTATCATCATCAAAAACAAATATTAATAATAATCAACATGAAACAGAAATCTATGAAAGTGTATGGAATTTAGATGAACAAATTGATAAATTACGTTTAAAAATTAATCAACAAATACATTCTGATTCTCAATCAATTATTTCAATGTCTGTTGATGAACCTGAACAAATACATCATCAAACTCATATTAATAATGATCAAGATTTATTAACAGCTGCTGCTTGGTATCAAGAAGGTTTACCAAGACATATATGTGAAGAATATTTAAATGATAATACTAAACCAATTGGTTCATTTATTATTCGACATAGTTATACTTATGTAGAATATCCATTTGTTATATCAATAAAAACAAATTTATCATCGATTGAACATTATCTTATTGAACGAACAATTGATAATGATGGTTATCGATTAAAGGTTTGTTTTAAAACGAAAA